ATGTAGCTTGGTTTGTACTTGCATATATCCAACAGCCTAATTTCCTTCCTGGCGCAACGCTGAACTCTTGCTAGCTTCCTTGACATTGACAACACTATGAGGAAGGGATGATACATACACATTGAGAGATATTTTAAATAAAAACATATGTATTACTCCTAAAGGAGTATATATATTTCTAGAAAAGAAGTATCTGCTGTTTTCAGCATTAATTCCACTTGCATATATCCAACAGCCTAATTTCCTTCCTGGCGCAACGCTGAACTCTTGCTAGCTTCCTTGACATTGACAACACTATGAGGAAGGGATGATACATACACATTGAGAGATATTTTAAATAAAAACATATGTATTACTCCTAAAGGAGTATATATATTTCTAGAAAAGAAGTATCTGCTGTTTTCAGCATTAATTCCTTGCAACAAAGGAACATAAAAGAAAAAGGTCAAATAAGCTTGTCCAGTCTTCTACCTAAAGCACTGGCTAAGCAGTTATAACAATCAAACTGACTAATAGCACATGAGGTATTGAACTTTTGAGCAGGGACAAGACTAAGTCAAGGAGTGTCTAGCAGCTGTTTTGGCATTCTATTTGGTGCACAGGAATTGAAGGTTATTTTGGCATTCTAATCATCTCCTAGAGCTGAGAGCTAAATGAGTGAAGAGTTGCCACCTGAAGGACAGTAACAGGACCTATCCCAAAGAGTCAGCATTTTTTAATACTTACATAATTCCCAATCATATTGTTTGCTCTGCTCTCATAGTACTCTAGACGCAGCTCTTCTGGGGAGACATCTGAAAAGCCTGTGAGGACAGGAATAGTCAAATACTTCAAGAAAACAGATTTGTACTTACAACTGCCCTCTATAGTTATGAAGAAATGGGCCATTGTTTGTCCTAAGTCAATGACAGTCAGAGATACACAAAGGATTCATTACAAAACTCTGGAGCTGTGAATGTTAAAAATTAATTTGCCATAATCTAATACTCCTTTCTGTTGCATTACAAGGCAAATCATCACCTTGCAAATGGTTCCACAGAGGTATAACACTGTGGGCAAGTCACAGAAACATCCTAAACAGCAGCAGTACACAACATTAAAAACATTACTTACCTGAGATATTTGCCATTTCTTTCATTGGTGAGTAAGATGAAAATATCCATTGTCCAGAAGATTCCCATGTGTCCATGTCTTTCACTACACATTCGCTACAAAACCAAACCAAACCATAGATGAAGGTGAAATTACATGTTCAAAACAAAACCACCAGAAACAATTGTCTGTTTGAATCCAAAGTCAGAGTCAAATATCTGCTACCATCAAAACCCAGTGTTTCCTTAATGCAATCGTACAAAAATGTAATGGAAAGTGGTTCCAAAACCTTGCTCCTTTGGGAAATCGTACTGCCTGTTGTTTCTTCGTACCTGCCCTGCAATCACCTTGAATTGCTGGTCACTCTTAACTGACTGTAATACATACCTGTGCGAAACCAGGTTTCAATAGTTTTGCTGTTGGCAGCTAAAAACTGCCGTCTTAAGCATCAGGAAGACCAAGTCAAATAGTTCATTATCTTAAAAGAATCTTTTTTTGCAGTTGAAATACCAGTGGGCTCTGACCCCTTATTTTCAAGTATCAAAATCTTTGTTTCCTTCCTCACCCTCCTGCCCACAACTTAAACACCACACCATCTTTACTGGTATCACAGTTGCCTAGCTGTCCAGCCCAGGTCCCAAACAAGGATCTCTTCCTTCCCATGGCAGCATCATTCCAGAGAACCAAACGAAGTCATGCTCTCTATTGTTCTTCCTATATCTCCCAGCTCCTTCTTCACCATCCTGTCCTCTATGTTATCTCTAGGAAGCCTTTAAGCTCCTGAACTGCTCATTCCGAATGCTTTCAGTAAGACAGGACTATGACTTACAGGAATCTCTCCTCTTCATCTTTAGCGCCATTGGCAACACTCGGATTGTTCACTAACGCCGAGAACCTGTTCTGTGAGAAGTCTGCATTTCTGCTGCTGCCTCCTGACGATCCAAAACCAGAGGAGCCGAAGAATCCTCTTCCGTGATCTCTGCTGCCACCCCATGTATTAGACTTGAAGGTAGAGGGCTGGATAACGTTACTGTATCTCTGGTTGGTGGTACCCCATCCTCCTCCTCTTCCGCCGGTAGCTTCCAATTAGAAAAACAACCAAACAAAACCGCAAGCAACAGATGTTTTTAATCATCAAGATATGAAACTTGAAATATGAAACAGCATCAACAAAAACTGTAAGCATAACTAATCTTATGGTGGCAATGGGAAGTGTGAAAAGCAGATGTAGATTTTTCCTAATGAGTTAACCTAATTACTTGGGAAATCACATTGCCTGTTGCTTCTCAGCACCTGCCCTGCAATCACCTTGAATCTGCTGGTCACTCTTAGCTGACTGTAACCCATGCCTCTGTTACATACCTAGTGAGTTACCAAAGGCAGTTTGGAAGTCAGAGGTAAATGGGAACTCCTCCTCACATGGAATCACAGGATAGTTTGGGCTGGAAGGCACCTTTAAAAGTCATCTAGTCCAGTTCCCCTCCCCACCACCATGAGCAGAGACACCTCCAACTAGATTACTACACCAATAACTCCGCAAAAAGAGTCTGTTTCAGTTGTGCTTACATCGTTACAGGAAGAAACTGCCATCAGAATAAAGTGAACTACCTGTACATTTATGTTAGGGTAGGTTTACAGAGTGACAGCAGGAGCTCTGCGAGACCTTGGACACATCTCAGAGCAACTCTGCAATATCTGAAGGGCCTACAAGCAGCCAGAGAGGGACTTTTTGTTAGGAACTGCAGTAATAGGACAAGGGGTAATGGGTTCAAACTGAAGGAGGGAAAGTCTAGGTTAGATATTAGAAAAAGGTTTTTTACTGTAAGGGTGGTGAGACACTGGGACAGGTTGCCCAGGGATGTGGTGGCTGCTCCAACCCTGGTGGTGTTCAAAGCCAGGCTGGATGAAGCCTTGAGGAACCTGATCTGGTGGGAGATGTCCCTGCCCATGGCAGGGGGGATTGGGACTAGATGATCTGCAAGGTCCATTCCAAGCTCTAAAATTCTATGACTCTGTGTGTGTGCCACAGGCAGCCCCCGACCCTCCTTCAGGAGGAACAGACAACACTCTTGAGCCATATTCCTGCCGTGCCATCACCGCAGCTTCCCAAGGCTCCCAAGCATCCA